GTGGGCGCCTCGCGGCGCGCGGGGCCGGCGCTGCCCTCCGCGGTGCACGCGTGATTTGAAAACACCACCGTGCCCGGTGTCCCCGCCGCGCCTGCGCGCCCCGCGCCCCTCTGCACTTCCTTGTTCGCGCTGCCTGGCTCTGCCGTGTCTTCCCGGTCTCCTTTCTCGCGGGCGGCGCTCATCGTCCGTCCTGCTCTTCTTAAACCCCCTGTCTTTGTCGCCGGCCTCCCCGGCATCGTCCTTTTGGAAGGATGTCATTCTTCCTCACCGTGAAGTTCCCGACCGAAACCGCCGTCTGTACCCCAGCTCTGCCCGGGGCCCGGTAGGAGTAGACCGATCAACTTTATACGATAGATCACTTTCTTACTTTGTAAGTGTGACATTCTTTTAAGAAAAGACTCAGTAAGCATACAGTGAAAATAACATTGGAATAGTTTTTGAAACAAAGGGCTGAGTACTGGAAATAGGTACTTCCATTTTTTTGTTTTTTTTGGTTGCATGACCTCTCCTGTCAGCTTGAGCAAATCTAGGACGTTTGCCCATCCTACTTGACAAAAATGCCTTTTAAACGTTTGATAGCGACTCAGAGTCATCAGTGTGCAAGCCGTTCTAAAACAACTTGAAAACTGAAAAAAAAAAAAAAAATAGGTGTTTTGATAGTCACAGTTAAAGAACTTTTAAAATAGGCTTAATGCATGTTTAATGTATCAAAATAAAGTTGGCCGCAGTCTTATGAAAGGATTATTTAGGAATTTGAGTAGTCTTAATACTGTGTAGCTATTTTGGGAAGATCATTCTTTTTCTGCTAAACGTTTACATGTACTCTGATGTGAGAATTACTGAGGTTTATTGTGGGATTAACACAGGAACTCTTTTTATTTGAGCTACTGCATGGATGGAGAAGTGGGAAATTGTTCAGTGTAAGTCACAGTATGTTCTCAGAGATGGGAGAAACATGCCTTCGACGCCGAATGCTAGTAGATATTATTTCATTTACTTTCTCTTGTGTAACAGCGAAGTTCCTATTGTTGGCCTACTTTTAAATAGAGCATTTTAAAATAGTGAGGCTAGTTCTAATTATGACAATAGACTTTTTCGCGTGTACAGTATATATAGGCTTTTAGAAAATACATAGCTGAAGTAATAAACTTGTAATTGTCAGAGAGATGCTTGTATAAGTCTCCTAAATGGATAGTGTGTTGTTATAATAAAACTTTTAAAATCTTATTTAGGACAGATTTTTTTTTCAGGAATTTTTTTTAACTTTGCCTCTTTCTCTCAATGACGTCTTTGTCTTTTTTTTTTAAATGGTTGTTTGTGTTTTCTCTCTTCATGCGTTTTTGTTCTTGTGAAGTCTTGTAACAGTTTCTGTAGTGGTCTTTATGTCGTTGTGTTAGCATGGAGTAGTACGTTTTTATTAGAGCTTTCATATCCATTAGTTAATATTTGCCCCGTTTCTTGTAGATTATCATATGGATTTGTTCATGTGATGGTTCTCAAAAGTGACTAGGAGAGCTTTCACTAGCTGTATTCTTAACCCTGGGTGTCTGATTTCTCTGAAGACTCTAGGAATAGGTGAGGCGGCTTTTCAGTTTGTCTGGTGGTCATGTCAGCGAATGCTGTTTTATGTTGGTAAGTCACAGATTATAATTCCTAAATCCTTTAAGATTACGTCATCTGAAGCAATGGTGTAGTGTCTAAATAGCTGTGCTTCGAAGAACAGCTGGTTCACAGGGTCAGAAAAAGTGGTTCTTGTTGGAGGTTACAGTATTTTCCCATAATGTACCATTTTTAGGAGGTCTTGAGTTAAGCTGTGTTGCTGTCTCTTGGCAAAATTAGCCATATTATCACTGAGTGATTATAGAGATGCTTTAAAAACTAGTTGACCCAGCAATGGATTGCACACATACCCTTGTACTACCTTGGCCAGCATTTATGTATATAATACTGGGAGTGAATGTTATTTTGTTTTTCACATTCTTTTGTGTTAGTTATACATATACTCTATATCTTATGGATATTTATAAATAATAAAGTATTTTGATACATTATTTAGCATAAATAGTAAAATATAAAAAGGTGGCCCTTCATAAGATACTAATAAAATATATAGAATTAACTTTTTTTCTTTTTTTGAGACAGGGTCTTGCTGTGTAGTTCAGGCTGGCCTTGAACTCAAACTCTCCGTGATCCTCCTGACTCAGCCTCCAGTGCTGGGATTTACAGGGGTGTTCCATAGTGCCCCGCCAAAATTTTTTTTTTTTTTTTTTTGTTTTGGTTTTTCTCCGGTACCGGGAACCAAACTCACGACCTTGCGCTTGCTAGGCAGGCGCTTTTTGCTGCTGAGCTAAATCCCCAGCCCCAACCCCCGCCAAAATTAACTTCTTAAAATACAATACTTGGTATTTTACATTTTGCTGTGAAATATGCCCTTCAGAACTGATTTTAAGGGAAATAAGTTGAAAAATAACCAGTGGTATCACAGTAATGTTTTGTTTCAAAATTCTAACAGGGAAGTTTATTCAGATAGTGGGTTAAAGTGGAAAAGAAAAGATTAGTGCGAGCTGAGGGTGGTGGCACACACCTGTGATCCCAGCACTCAGGAGGCTGAGGCAGGAAGATTGTTATGAGTTTGAGGTCATCCTGGGGTGACCCTGTTTCAAAAAAAAGAGAAAAGATTAGTGGAAAGAGAATAAGAGAATTAGGGAGAACATGGTGTTTCTGGATTTTCAAGTGATTCTTCCTACTACTTGATTCTTTTTACTTTAGTGGACTAATTTCAAAATTGGAATGAAACTGAATACTGCTATTTATTTTGACAGCTTTAAAGCTTTGTTGTAGGATGTATCTGATATGTCACATCAGCAGACTTGTTAAAAGGATTGATGAGTTAAGGAATATGAGAAGATTCCTAAAAACTGGGTAGACCCCACATCTCACTGTCTTGTACGCAAAAATAAAGGTAGATAGAGAAGATTTGGTAAATGATTAGTTTTGGTAGTATGTGCTGGACAGTTGTAAAATGTGTAAAATGGCAAGGCTTCTCACCAGCTTCTATCTAGCAGCTGATCTAACAGTTATAGAATAAGTTACCTGAGCTTCATAATCTATTTTACTCCCCGCCCCCATTGGGGTTTGAATCCAGGACCTTCTCACTGAGCTACTGTCCCAGCCCATTTTCTGTTTTTAAATTTTGATACTTGCTGGGATTGAATTTTTGCTAAATTTCTCAGGCTGGGGTTGAATTTTTGATTCTCCTACATCTTCAGCATCTCTCAAATGCTGGGGTTACAGGCTGTGCCACGACCTGGCTAACTTTTGGGCTTTTTTGACCAAGTATATTAATGTCTTTGATTAGTCATTTTGGAATCTTTTTGCAAATAATACATTTCTCATGTGATTTTTAAAAATCTCTGATTTGAAAGATGAATAATTTTCAGCATTGTCTGTTTTTTCCATAAAGAATACTACCATGTAGGTCAATTTCAATTTTTTTTTTTTTTCCGGTACTGGGAATTGAACTCATGACCTTGCGCTTGCCAGGCAGGTGCTGTGCTGCTGAGCTAAATCCCCAGCCCGCCAATTTCAGTTATTTGACAAGGTAGTTGAATCAGTGTTAGGATAAAACACCCTTCATTAAATTTTTGTAATGTTAATGCAGTTTTCCACAAGTGCGCTCTTATTTCTCAGACTGTTTCAAGAGTTTGAGGTTTAATTTTTAGTAGCAGTGTGTCCTAGGAAACAAATGTCATATGAAAGTATATACTTTTTAAAGCTTTGTTTTAAATTTATGTTTTGTTTTATTTCTCTTTGGTTTAATTTTAACAGCAGATGTCAACACATTGCTTTTCTTTTTTTTTTTTTTGTACCCGGAATTGAACTTGGGACCTTGTGCTTGCCAGGCAGGCGCTTGTACCGCTGAGCTATATCCCCGGGCCAGCACATTGCTTTTGAATTGTGGTATTATGACACAAGAATTCCCAGGTACTTTTTTTCTAGTAGCTATTGTATGACTACATCTACAATGTTATTTTCTGGCATAGCATATTGCTTTTATAATGATTTTCCTTGTAATAACTTGTTTAACTTGAACCCGGTAGCTTAATTTTTATTTTTAATGGTAGTGGTGCTGGGGATTGAACCATAGGCCTCTTGCTCATGCACTGTACTGTAGCTGTATGTCTGTAGCTGTATTTGGTAGTTGTAGCTCCAACTACCAAATAGTTTTAATATTATTGTACTTAAAATTGATTCAGAGTTTTCTTTTGGAGTATATTTATTGACTTCACATTGATTTATTTCTTGCAAGTTAAAAATCAGGGTGTTTAGAAATAGCATTACTTGGAAAACTTGGTTTTGCTTTTTTGTAACCAGAAGATCCTGTCAGATATGGTCTGACACTTACGGAAAAGAGAGAAAGAAACACTGGAAGCTGTCCACTGACCAGTAAGGAGTTTGTCTTACTGTTAGTGATTGGAACAGTTACTGACATTGATACAGGAAGAAGGACATCTGTTTCTAGGATTGTTGTGATTTTGTCTATGTAGAATGTCCTTTGCTTAAGGATAGGATGTAAGTGAAAAGTACATTGTATCACACATCTGTAACCCCAGCTCCTGGGACACTGAGGCCGGCGGGGATTGCGGTGAGTTCAAGGCCAGTTTGAACTATACAGTAAGACTCTGTCTCCAAAAAAAAACAATTGTGCTGGGTGTGGTGGCGCACACCCATCCTAGCACTTGGGCGGCTGAGGCAGGAGGATCATTGTGAGTTCGAGGCCAGCCTGGGCTGCAAAGTGAGCTCAAGGCCAGCCTGAACTGCATAGTGAGACCCTGTCTCAAAAAGACAAAAAGAAAAATTGTATCATAGAAATAGGGAAAACCTTTTCTTTTATAGAAAACTATTAAAATATGGTTAGGTTCTCAGGTACGATCACATTTTTAATATTGAAAAATTTAAGTTATATTTGGTAGGTGGTACATATCTGAGAAGAAGCAGGTTCAGCAAAGGATATGTAGATGGTTTAAGGGTCTGACGGATTTCAGAGCACTTTTAAGCTTGGAGGTAATATCACTGGTTCTTAAATCTGATTGCATTTTGTTTTCATGATGTGGATATTAAGAGCACTCCACATTGAAAAGGGATAGTTACTAGATGTTCTTAATTTAACTCAAAGCAACTTCTGATGATAGACTGTATAGGAGATCAGGTTTAGATTTGGGAGGCTTGCTGTTACTTTTATTTACTCTTTTGAGAAGCAAAAAACAATGTTAAATTTTAAGCTGTAGCTCCTCATTTTCCTGCCTTTTTTTTTGAGACACCATCTTACTGTGTCTCAAAAGGCACAGTACTGAGGCCCTGGCTGGCCTC